ACACGTGAAAAGATTAAAAAAATAATAACATATCAGTATTATGTTAATTTTACATTGAAGTAATAATCAAAACGTCGTAACACAAGAAAAGTTCTACATTTTGACGCACGATTTTTTACTGTGTAAATTCACACGTTTTTCACGTGTGTTTTTCGAATTGAAATTTCAATTCTTAAGGAGCAGTTTTTTTCGCAATATTTTAAATCAATTAGGAAGGGTATTCGGGAGGGGGGGGTATGAATTTAAGAATTGAAATTTCAATTCGAAAAACACACGCGAAAAACGTGAATTTACTTATATATGTGTACACACACATGTAAGACATATTTTCCGCACAACATCCTGCGAACGGAAATTAATTTTTTTTCTTCAAGAATTTGCACACGGTTTTGTTATACATTAAGTAAAAAAAAAGTAAATGTAGTGGCGTATTCTGGTTATACCTTTGCACAAAATAAGAGGAAATTGATTAGCGTGCGTCAGACGCGTTATCAGATACGCGGCTACGAGGGTGGCGATGACTGAACTCACGACAACGATTCTCGCAAATATTAAAATCGTCTCTCGCACGCCTGCCAGAAAACCTTCGCGATGTCCGTCGTTGTCATCAATCAAATTGCCGACAACGGTCGCTCGCGATTGCGGCTCGCGAATCCTGACGACGCGAGGATGACCGCACGAAAACACCGCGAGATCGCGGTCGATCGTTTTGAGAAGATCGAAGCGCGTTGTCAGCGGATGAGTACGACCGCGTCGATGACAATACCATTTTCCGCGCGGAATGTTATCGCCGCCGCGATAGCAAAGCCGCGTTAGTTGATTCGACAGCGCGAAAACAAGTTTCGCGAATTTTAGGCGCATGGATCAAACGCGGTTCGTGACGATCATCGTGCCGTGATCTCGTGTGTGTTTATTATTTATTATTTTCGCGACGACGACGACGACGGTAAAAGATTCGTCATTTTCGCGATCGTGTGTGTGACGGATTTTCTAGTTTCGCGTTCATGATACGAATTTGCGCGCAAACTGCGTTGACGTATTTTTCACTTCGCGGTCGAGTCGAAAGTGATCCGCTTTGAAGTAAGGTATTCTTGAAACTTGGAAATCTAATTGGTAAATCATTAATCATAAATTTTTTATGCAGTAAATAATAATATCTACAATATCTTTTGATCATCCCCTTACGAAAAAGAACTACTGCCGATTACATATAAATAAAATCAGTAATATAAATATTACTGACAATCACATAAGAATATTATTAGATATTACAGGAATCACTGCACCGAAAAAATGATATTCTCGTAAGTAGAAGATTTTCTACTTAAAAAATCTTCTTAAAGATTTTAGATGATATTCTTCTGAGATTAAGAATATATTCTTTATTTAAGAATATAGTCTTTTTCGATAGTGAGATATATATGTTTTTCTATAGAGGCTTTTTATATTCTAATCAGTATATATTCTTATCAATATTNCTATTTAGAGGATTTTCCTCTTAAAAGAAGAAACTCTTCTTGGCGCCTATTTTAGTATAAAATATACTTAAAGTAAGTGGGATGTCCTCAAAACAAGAATACAATTTTTTCGGTGTGAGAACTAAAACTAAAGACGAAGTGCAGCCGCGCCAAGTTTTTGTACATTAAATATTTTTTATTTTGAAACATTCTACATGAGTTTTTGACATTTCACACAAATCGAAATCTATATGTATGATTCGACATAGTTTAAGATTTTCCACGCAAGGCGAA